TTTACAAAAAGATTGGTATTATATTGTCTTTGTGTGCATTAAAACAAATATTTTAAAAATGCTGCTCAAATACCATGTGACATAAAAAATTGGAAGACCCACCATTTTATTCTCTAGGCCCTCTTCTGAAAAATACATAATGTTTAGGAGGTCTAAGTAATTTAATATTAAATATACTGATTTTTACTTGTAAACAAAAAGTGTCAGAAGAAGGGCTGGTCTTAAAGTGGATAATGTCTGAAGGTGTTCCTTGGATGTCGTGCCTCTCTATGTGGCCGGACTGTGAAAAAGTCTCATACATGTGGTACCGCCATACTCAGGAAGAGTAGCAGAATGTGTTTTGGGGTGTAGTTGCAAGTATACTACATGTGAGAAATAACTGGTTATTTTTACATTTTTGTGGAAAAAAAATCTTTAATGAATTTCTAATTTTCCAAAGAATTGTGGGAAAAACTAAAACTTCAAAAAACTCATCATGCCTCTTACTCAATACCTTGCATTGTCTATTTTCCAAAAAGTGGTCATTTGGGGGGTATTTTTACTTTCCTGGCAAGGTAGGGCCTCAGGAAATTAGATAGGCAGTGAGTACATCAGTTTTGATCAATTTTCAATGATAGGTACCATAGCTTGTAGATTTTCCCAAACCACGTTTACTTTAGTGACGTTATTACACTGGAAGTATTACGTCAGTCATTTTACCTACTGGATGCCAGATGGATGTTTTTTCCTTAAGGGGCCAATGATTGTTGAAGAGATGATTCTTTGTGCACTGGATTAGTGCACTATATTTGTGAGTATATGTTAGCATCCTTTTAATAAATTTGGTCTTAATGGGATACTACACTATGAGATATTTCCATTATTTTCCCTAACACTATTGATTTACATGATTGATCGGATTGATTGAGGATCGAGAGATAAAAAGGAGTCACTACCCTTATGAATAGGCTGTTTTGACCTGATAGATTTTGGGTCATTGCGTGGAGGTAAGCGGCTGCTTTGAGCATAGAGTGGTGTGCCAAACAAGGAGATTGAGAGTATTATCTATGTTTATTAATAACACTCTTCCTTTTTTAAACACTGGAATATATGGTTCTTATCCTGTAGAGTGGATAATGAGGACTTTATGAACACCTCTTTCTCTATATTTATCTATTATATTATTAGTATTTTTTGCACTTTGCATTGGGTTATATTTCTGATGATATATAATTGTTTTTGTTTAGTTCACTGGACACTAGAAGATATATTACCATTTTGAAAATTCAGTTATGTTTTAGTTGCACAGCACTATTATGGGAAAAAATACTGTTTGATGTGGCAACACAGGCTAGAGGCTTGCAGCAACTAGATGCACTTTATTTTTTTTTGCTGGTTTTGAGTTATGTATTGTTTTTGTGAACACATATTTTTTTTTACACTATATTTTTCACACCATTTTGGCAAGCGCAGGATTATTCGGGTTTAGTAACCATAGCTTGTAGACTCTATAACGTTCACACACACCAAATAATATACACTGATTTGGGGTATTTTTAGCAAAGAAATGTAGCAGTATAAATTTTGGTCAAAATTTATGAAGAATTTTGAAAAAAAAAAACGAATTTAATTTTTTTTGTTTATAGTGCAAAAATGAAAACTCAGTGGTGAATAAATACCACCAAAAGAAAGCTCTATTTGTGTGAAAAAAATGTCATATGGATACAGTATTGGATGACTGAGTAATAGTCATTCAAAGTGTAAGAGCGCTGAAAGCTGAAAATTGGCCTGAGCAGGAAGGTGGTGAAAGCGTCCAGTATTGAGATGGTTAAAATTGTATTATTAGTGGTATGTTCTGTCATTTGAAAGTATTCTCATTTGTAGAATTGTAATCATTCCTTAGCAATTTCAGGAAATTTGCAATCACATGCAGTGCCGTCTTAATGCGTGGGCCCCCCCTGGGCATTGCCCAGGGGCCCCAGGTGCATGGAGTCCCCTTCATAGTCATGCATAGGCAGACACGAGATGTGACAGCAGTGTCATTCCTTTTAGCAGGGAGGAGGAGAAGCACAGCAGCATCACCTAGTCTTGAAAAGTGCATCCAGGCAGGAGAAGGCAGCCACTATTTTTTGTAGTATCCTAGTACAGCCTCGACAGCCCCGTCTCCCTTCCACGCAGTACTGTGTACATAGGCATCATGCACCCATGTATGTGAGTATATATGTATGTGTGTTTATACTGTATGTATATGTATACTATTGCCAAAATACGCACGTTCCTAACCCCAGAAACCACTAAACAGCTCATCCACTCCCTCATCATATCACGACTTGACTACTGCAACTCCCTCCTCACTGGCCTGCCTCGCCGCTGGCTATCCCCGCTTCAGTCGATCCTGAATACGGCTGCCAGACTCATTCACCTTTCCAACAGCTCTGTCTCCGCCACCCCCCTCTGCCAATCCCTCCACTGGCTTCTGATTGCGCAACGGATCAAATTCAAAATCCTAACACTGACGTACAAAGCTGTCCACCATACTGCCCCGAACTACATCACTGACCTAATATCCACGTACCGCCCAGCACGCACACTCCACTCCTCACAAGACCTCCTTCTCTCTAGTTCCCTGGTCTCCTCCTCCCATGCCCGCCTCCAGGACTTCTCCAGGGTGTCACCCATCCTCTGGAACTCCCTGCCCTAACCCATCAGATTATCACCTACTCTCCTCTCCTTTAGGCGCACCCTGAAAACCTATCTCTTCAGGGAAGCCTACCCCACCCCCTGCTAACTTGCCGACTTCCTCCACTCTTCCTACCACTCCATCCACCACAGCTATCTCCTCCTGTACCACTATCCCCTCCCTCCTAGATTGTAAGCTCGAAAGAGCAGGGCCCTCGATCCCCTCATGTTTTGCATTGTATTGGTATTGTTCTGTCACATGTTCTGTCCCCCTTTGTAATGTACAGCGCTGAGTGAACTATTGGCGCTTTATGAATACTGTATAATAATAATAATAATATGTAAGTGTGTTTGTGTATATGTGAGTGTGTATGCCTTTGTGTGAGTTTATGTATGAGTGAACGTGTGTGTGTACGTAAGTATGTATGTGTAGTGTGCATGTGTATACGTATATAGTCATATACGTGTGTGTGTGTGTGTATGCATGTATGTCTGTATGTTACTGTTAGATTCTGTTCACACAGGCATACATAAGCATACACCCATGTGAGTGCTGTGTTTGCTCTCAAAAGCATGGGTGTACAGGTGTTGCGTGCATTTCCGTGCAGGCAGTCTCATTGATGCTGGACAGAGTCACTGCTCTGAAATTGACATCCATGTGGGTGCTGGTCCCTAAACACAGGCAGTGTGGATTTGGGGACCCAAACCCACAAAGATGTCAGATTGGGAACAGTACCTGTGTCTGTGCAGCCACTGCATCCTAACTATCATGAAAGGGACTGCCTGCATAAGGATGCACTGAATACATGTGCATCCTCATGCCAGTGTGGGCAAACAAGGAACTTACATGGGTGTACTCTTAAATGTGAACAAGGTCTAACAGCAATGTACAGACAAGATAAATATAGGCTGCTAATGGGGGGCAGTGTGTACGGGGGATAGTGTAAACAAGAGATCTATGTGTAGAGAGAGCAGGACAGTGTGTACAGGGGGGTGAATTTAATTTGGAATAATTCCCTGGTTGTGTTTATTTGTTGTTTCTAATCAGACTAAAAAGCCATGCACAGTATTTGGCATAATTTAGCCACACCCACTTTTTGCTGTGGTGAGCTACATGCCCTGCAGGTCACCATCTCCCTGGTAGGGGCCCCAGTGCATTACTTTGCCCAGGGGGCATAATGATATTTAGATGGCCCTGATCAAATGTGCATTTTTTTCCCCCACGTGCTGCTCAGTTTTAAAAAGTGTAATTTTTGAGAAGTTTCCTGAGTTTTACAATTCTCAGGGTGAAATACAAAAATGTACCTCCCCCCAACAACTACAAAGTGCATGACATTACAATAATGCTCCAATAAATCTAAAAATATAGCAGTCATCAACTGCAGATTGTTTTCATCATTTTATTTTAAGAATAAAGGATGATGAGCGGCTAGTGTTGTGAAGATAGAAAGGTTGACAGTTTTTTTATTGAGAGAATGCTAAGTAAACTGTATTGCCAAAAGTATTGGGACACCTGCCTTTACACACACATGAACTTTAATGGCATCCCAGTCTTAGTCAATAGGGTTCAATATTGAGTTGGCCCACCCTTTGCAGCTAGAACAGCTTCAACTCTTCTGCGAAGGCTGCCACAAGGTTTAAGAGTGTGTCTATGGGAATGTTTGACCATTCTTCCAGAAGCTCATTTGTGAGGTCAGGCACTAACGAGAAGGCCTGGCTCGAAGTCTCCGCTCTAATTCATCCCATAGGCATTCTATTGGGTTTAAATCAAGGCTCTGTGCAGGCCAGTCAAGTTCCTCCACCCCAAACTCGCTCATCCATGTCTTTATGGACCTTGCTTTGTGCACTGGTGTGCAGTCACGTTCGAACAGGAAGGGGCAATCCCCAAAGTGATCCCACAAAGTTTGGAACATGAAATTGTACAAAATGTCTTGGTATATTGACGCCTTAAGAGTTGCCTTCACTGGAACTAAGGGGCCAAGCCCAACCCCTGAAAAATAAGACCACACCATAATCCTCCCTCCACCAAACTTTTTGCTTGGCACATTGCAGTCAAGCAAGTACTGTTCTCCTGGCAACTGCCAAACCCAGACACGTCCATCAGATTGCCAGATAGAGAAGCATGATTCATCGCTCCAGAGAACACATCTCCACTGCTCTAGAGTTCAGTGGTGGCGTGCTATATACCAATGGATCCAATGCTTTGCATTGAACTTGGTGATGTAAGGCTTGGATGCAGCTGCTTGGCCATTGAAACCCATTCAATGAAGCTCTCTACACACAGTTGTTGCGCTAGTCTGAAGGCCACACGAAGTTTGGAGGTCTTTAGCTATTGACTCTGCAGACGGTGACTTCTGCGCATTGTGCACTTCAGCATGCGCTGAACCTGCTCTGTCATTTAACGTAGCCTACCACTTCGTAGCTGAGTTGCTGTTTTTCCCAGTTGCTTCCACTTTGTTATACCACTGACAGTTGACTGTGGAATATTTAGTAGCAAGAAAATTTCACAGATGGACTTATTGCACAGGTGGCAACCTATCACGGTACTGGTGATTGGGGGGGGGGGGGGGGGGGGGGGGGGGGGGGGGGGGGGGGGGGGGGGCCCTCTGTGATCAAGCCTCGGTGGGTGGGGTGAAATGCATCAGAGGGCGTGGCCGGCATGACAGCTGAGGCCATCCTTCACATATGGGAGTGCACAGGAGGCTCGAGCTCCTTCAACAGAATCTGGATCTTAATGTGGACGCCGCTCCCCTGCTATGCCGGTGAGGTGACTATTTAGACTATACAGCTTATGAGTGGTGTTCAGATTTTGAACATTGCAATTGTATCACGGGACCATGCTTGAATTCAGTGAGCTCCTTAGAGTGACCCATTCTTTTACAAATGTTTGTAGAAGCAGTTTGCTTGCCTAGGTGCTTGATTTTATACACCTGTGGCCATGGAGGTGACTGGAACACCTGAATCCAATGATTTGGAGGGGTGCCCCAATATTTTTGGCAATATAGTGTATATAGTACACCACCAAAAGATGGCTACCACTATACCATAACTGAATTATTACTGTGCTCATGTGAAATGCTTATAGTATTACTTTCAATGGCTTTCTTTTTCATGGTCCTGAAATTAGCTAATGGGGTAAAAAGGAATTATTTGTATGGTCCCACCCTCTGCTGTGAATTATGGAATGATCCCCTTATTTTGGACAAACGGTATATGATGGAATGAGATAAGTAAATACCTTCTGTTCTAAAAAAGCTCTACAGTGGAATTTTATTTTTTTGCTCCTTCTCCCATTGACCCTCTAGGTTATACTTTCTTGCAGACATGTGCACACCGGACATTTTCATTTCGTTTTGGATGCATTTGTTCGTTGAAGAATTTTGTTTCATAATGTTGAATATTCGTTTCATATATTGTTAGTCGGGGTGGATTCCACAAATTTTGCATTTGATATTTATTTGTTGAAACTACTTGTAAGGATTCAATATTTTCGGATGCAACAGAATAAATAATGAAAAATTTGACGACCCAAATTTTTCAAACCTAAGAATTGCATTAGACTGTAGAACTGAATTGACTGAATGCGACAATTACAAATTCAATTTAAATCACAAATTTACTCAAATCTGAATTATTGGACAAATTCGAAAAATCATGTGAGGTCATCCAAATAAAACTAATGCATTCATTAATTTTGTTACAACTTTTTTTGGATTCATTTACATTCCTTACTATATCCATTCTGAGGTTTGTATACATCCAAATCTCCAAAAATCTAATTACAAAACAAAATGCACATGTCTACTCTCTTGTTGGTCCTCAAGCCCTATGTCATAGAAGTCCTTGTTTGCATACTTTGATCTGATGATGACCAACAAACAGCTGTATGCAGTTTACCTGACAGTGTGATTCGTCACTCCAGAGAACACATCACCACTGCCCTAGAGTCCAGTGGCGGTGTGGTTTACACCACTGCATCTGACTCTTTGCATTAGATTTGGTGATGTAAGGCTTGGATGCAGCTGCTCGGCCATGGAAATCCATTCCATGAAGTTCTCTATGCACTATTGTTGTGCTAAGCTGAAGACCACATGAAGTTTGGAGGTCTTTAGCTATTGATTCTGCAGGGAGTTGCGACTTCTGCGCACTGTGTGCTTCAGCATGCGCAAACTCCGCTCTGTCATTTTACATGGCCTACCACTTCATGGCTGAGTTGCTGTTGTTCCCAGTTGCTTCCATTTTGTTATAATACCACTAACAGTTGACCGAATATTTAATAGCAAGGAAATTTCACAGATGGACTTATTGCACAGGTGGCAACCTATCATGGTAACACGCTTGAATTCACTGAGCTGCTGAGTGCAACCCATTATTTTACAAATATTTGTAGAAGCAGTCTGCATGCCTAGGTGCTTGAATGTATACACCTGTGGCCATGGAAGTGATTAGAACACCTGAATCTAATGATTTGGAAGGATGTCCCAATACGTTTGGCAATATAGTGTATATATATATACAGTGGGGATCGAAAGTTTGGGCACCCCAGCTAAACATGTGTATTAATGTGCATAAAGAAGCAAAGGAAAGATGGAAAAAATCTCCAAAAGGCATCAAATTACAGATTAGACATTCTTATAATATGTCAACAAAAGTTAGATTTTATTTCCATCATTTACACTTTCAAAATAACAGAAAACAAAAAAAATGGCTTCTGCAAAAGTTTGGGCACCCTGCAGAATTTATAGCATGCACTGCCCCCTTTGCCAAGCTGAGACCTGCCAGTGTCATGGATTGTTCTCAATCATCGTCTGGGAAGACCAGGTGATGTCAATCTCAAAGGTTTTAAATGCCCAGACTCAACTGACCTTGCCACAACAATCAGCACCGTGGGTTCTTCTAAGCAGTTGTCTAGAAAACTGAAACTGAAAATAGTTGACGCTCACAAAGCTGGAGAAGGCTATAAGAAGATAGCAAAGCGTTTTCAGATGTCAATATCCTCTGTTCGGAATGTAATTAAGAAATGGCAGTCATCGGGAACAGTGGAAGTTAAAGCAAGATCTGGAAGACCAAGAAAAATATCAGACAGAACAGCTCGCAGAATTGTGAGAAAAACAATTCAAAACCCACGTTTGATTGCACGATCCCTCCAGAAAGATCTGGCAGACACTGGAGTTGTGGTACACTATTCCACTATAAAGAGATACTTGTACAAATATGGTCTTCATGGAAGAGTCATCAGAAGAAAACCTCTTCTATGTCCTCACCACAAAAATCATCGTTTGAACTTTGGAAATGAACATATAGACAAGCCTGATGCATTTTGGAAACAAGTTCTGTGGACCGATGAGGTTAAAATTGAACTTTTTGGCCGGAATGAGCAAAGGTACGTTTGGAGAAGAAGGGGCACAGAATTTAATGAAAAGAACCTCTGTCTAACTGTTAAGCATGGGGTTGGATCAATCATGCTTTGGGGTTGTGTTGCAGCCAGTGGCACAGGGAACATCTCACGAGTAGAAGGAAAAATGGATTCAATAAAATTTCAGCATATTTTGGATGGTAACTTGATGCCATCTGTGAAAGAGCTGAAGTTAACGAGAGGATGGCTTCTACAAATGGATAATGATCCTAAACACACCTCGAAATCCACAGGGGATTACATCAAGAGGCGTAAATTGAAGGTTTTGCCATGGCCTTCACAATCTCCTGACCTCAACATAATTGAAAATCTATGGATAGACCTTAAAAGAGCAGTGCATGACAGACAGCCCAGAAATCTCAAAGAACTGGAAGACTTTTGTAAGGAAGAATGGGCAAAGATACCTCAAACAAGAATTGAAAGACTCTTGGCTGGCAACAAAAAGCGTTTACAAGCTGTGATACTTGCCAAAGGGGGCAGTACAAGATATTAACTCTGCAGAGTGCCCAAACTTTTGCAGACGCCATTTTTTTGTTTTCTGTTATTTTGAAAGTGTAAATGATGGAAATAAAATCTAACTTTTGTTGACATATTATCAGAATGTCTAATCTGTAATTTGATGCCTTTTGGAGATTTTTCCATCTTTCCTTGGCTTCTTTATGCACATTAATACAAATTTTTAGCTGGGGTGCCCAAACGTTTCGATCCCCACTGTATATATATATATATATATATATATATATATATATATATATATATATATATAAAACCTAATTGCCTAATTGGTAATACTTTTTAAAGTTTGTTGCCAATTTTCCATAAGTATGATTCATACACGGTTAGCATTATTTAACCAAGCCCATCTTTGAAATTGAAGATTCTATACAGGGGCCAATATCTCTAAGAAGAAATCTTTAAATTCATGAGTGTAAGGAAGGTTTCATTAACTAAATTAAGCTTTAAAACAATGAAGTGGTTAAAATGGAAAAGAGGATGGAAAGAGTTTGTAATGGTCCTATTATAATCAAGGATGGATGAACATGTACTGACACATACTGTATGTGATAGCATGTATATTGATATATGCCGAAATCTCTATAGATGAATACACTACAAATGTAAAATAATGACATAATGTTAAATGGTACAAGCCGCAACTTGAAGAAAATGCTCTGCTAGATCTGGTGATTTTTAATACTACAGAGCAGGGGCGGACTGACAACTCATGGGGCCCCCGGGCAATAAGGGATCATGGGGCCCCTGTGTCCTTGCCCAAACTCAAAAAAGCCTATGAAAAAGGTACCAGGGGCATCTCATGGGGCCCCCTACTGACCCCGGGCCCTCGTGCAGTGCCCGAGTTTCCAAATGGTCAGTCCGCCCCTGCTACAATTTCAGATGTGCAAGTAAAGCCAGCCATACATGGATCAAAATTTGACTGGTTCAGCAGGGACTGTCGGAATTTCAATCCATGTATGGGGAAGCTGGTTGTACAGAAGTTGATCTAGCAATTGACTTCTGTATAACTAGCTTGTCGCATTTTCCCTGCTCAATCAGCACCACCAGCTATAGCTGATAGCACTGATCAGTGTATTCTAACGGCAATGTGTGGATGGGGGAATCAAGTCATTTTTTTTTTTTTTCATTCAACCCGCTGTAGAGTGCTTTAGGGACAACTTAGGCAACAGGGACCACACAGAGTCATTACATTTGACTTGAGTTACAGGAAAGAGCGACAAAGCCAACTAGTGATACTAACTGGAACTAAGAGGAATGGTTAATCAAATTAAAAAGATGGTAGAAAGTAAGCACTTTAGAGGAGACATGATAGTTACATATATACTGTATATATATATATATATATATATATATATATATATATATATATATATATATATATAAAGGGGTAGTAAACACTGCGTTGTCACTTGTACCTACAGGTAAGTTTATAATAAAGCATGGTGATGAATGGTGCTAAATGTATAAAAACAAAATAATAATGCCAATGTTACTAATAAACCAATAACATAAACAACTATAACATTTCTCTAAGTGTCAATAGTGCTCAATAAATGTGATAAACAAATGTGAAAAAATGCTCAAAGTCTATACATATTTCCAACACTGATTTATTATTTTGTTTTACTGGACTCTATAAATCATTGTACCTGTGATCAGCAGATTGCGATTCCAATGCCAATGCCAGGCTCCTGCAGACTCTCAGTTTACTTGTTGTCTCCCATATGGTCAGGCAGTTACTGAATTGCAGAAAATAACAATAAACTACAAGAGTGCTCACGAGCACCCTCCCAGTTCACTGAGAACCACAAGCTGTCAGCTTGGTGGCCAACAGTACTTGTAGTTCATACTGTATTTCTATCAGTGTCCAGACAAGCACATGTTAAAGCTTGTAGGAGTTTTCTTTCTGCTGCAGGAGGATGCAAAACCCCTGACCTCTGTCTGAACAGTGATGATTGGCCCTGTGCTGATAACATGCACTCTCCTAAGAAAAAAAAAAACCTCCCTAGCAATACACACTAAACTGAGCATGTGCAGAGTGTCTCCACACAATACGTTTTATCAGGAGATAAGAGGGTCAAACAGCAT